CCCCAAAAGCCCCAGGATGTATGGCCAATTGGTCGCCGAGGCATGGTCTGCCAGGAAGGGGAGCGAACGCCGCAAGCAGTCCAAGCACAGAAGCCGCGATAAACTCGCCGAAGCCGATATTGCTCAGACCTGGCGGGCACCCACGACTGGAGCACAGACCACAGAACTCCATCCTCTTCCTCGTCGTTATCCTCCCCCCTCCCCCCGCCCTCCTTACCTCCGTCTCTACCTGCCTCCCTACTTCCCTCCCCTCTCCCTCTTTCCTCCATCCTGCCTCCTCCTCCTCCTCCTCCTCCTCCTCCTCCTCCTCCTCCTTGCTTCCACCTCCTTCCTCCCTCCCCCGCCTCCTCCTCCACCTCATCCTCCACCTCCTCATCGACCAGCTTGTTATATCGATCCCTCCCCTCTACCTCTTGTCACCATCCTTTTCCTCCTCCTCCTGAAACTGCAGACTACATCGGCCCAATGAAAGTTCCTTGAATTTTCATCACGACGCTGGCCGGCGGAAGTCGACGGAAGTAAAACGAGGCGGAAGACGGGGGAAGGCCGCTGGAAGGCTTGCCAATGTCAGCGGAATTAAACGACGCCCCTTCCGAACCCCCTACCCCCCGTAGAAGCCTAGCAATGTTGTTTTCCTCCGTGGGCCTGGCGGGATCCCGCCTGGCTTATTCCGCTTTAATACTATAAGTTTAGTTCAGGACGATCAAAATCCCACCCACAAAAAATGGGGTAGACCAAAATCCCGGGTCGTTCACGGATCCCACCATGCTGGGATCGGCACGAAGTAAGATGGGGCCCATAAGTTGCAGTAGTATTGCCGTGTTGGGGTCGTCTTGAGGTCATCTTGAGATCATATCCCGGTCATGTTTGGATCACGCAACCATCGCGTGGTCATTATGAGGCCACCCTGGGTGCGCTTGGATCCATCTTGTTCCCATCGGGCCATCTCGGCGTCACGCGTTGCTCATGTGTTCCGTCATCTGCGAGTCGGCCTGAGACGGTCCAGAATCCATGGCGGGATCGCGTTGGGGTGGAATCCTCCTGGGTCCTCTGGACGTTATCGTCCGTGGCCTGAGGCATTCCTGGAAGCATGTTGTGGCCATGGGACGTCTTGGGATCGCGTGCGTGCGAACGCTGAGCACGCGCGCGCGATTTTTCATCTTGCCGACGGGTTTACATACATGTTATTCCTCTTGCGAGTTTTCAAGGAAACTTTTGTTGGAGCCAAGTATAGATTCGAGAAGCTTGAAAGAACGCATGCGACCGCGAGGCATGGATCGTTGAAAGGACACATCCTACGCTGGCCTTGTTTGGCGTTTAGCTGGCCTCACGACAGCAGCGAAGATGTGGCGGGCCAGAACGCAGGCTAGAGAGGAGGAAAAGGAGGAGGAGGAGGAGGAGGAAGAGAATGATGAGAAATCTGGCTGACTGGAGGATCGGACCAGTGGACAAATGGTCACTTCCACATGAGATCACAACTGGTGACCGCCGTGCTCCGCGAACGACTGGTGCCCTGGAGTTGTCGAAAGAATGAAACAGGTTGAGAAGGGGCTCGAGCGGGCGACCTCTCCGAGCGGCCAGAACTCGACGGACCTTGGGGCGCCGGTGCCGACGCCCGCGTCCTGCCTCAGAGGACCTGTGCCGTGGCCCGAGGGCCGGGTCGACCCCCCCCCCGAGGCATTGGCCCCGAAGCCTCAAAAAGCTTTCGGAGGCCCCCAGGGGTCCTCGGAGGGCTTCGGGGGCCTCTGGATTCCCAGGGCGGCGCAAGAGCCTCCACGGAGGCTTTTTACGTCGCAGCGCGGCGGAGGCAGTCCGCACGCGCGCTCAGGCGGTCAGGGCAGCGGAAGGCGCACATGAATCGGCGGCAGGAGGAGGGGAAGACAGGTGGAAGCGGCCGCGAGAGGGAGGGAGGAGGGGAGGGGGGGGGGGCACTCACGTGGCGAGGTGCGTCGCCGTGGAGCGGCCGTGGAGAGGCACGGAGGCGCCCAGCAGCCCCGAGGATCCTCCGCCGAGCAGAGGGGTTGGGGAGGGGGGCGCTCGACCCAGCCCGCTCGGCCCTGACCCTCCCCGAGAGAAGGGGTCCTCTCCCCCCCCCCTGCCCTTCCCCCATCTCGCCTCCCCCACCCCCTATCCCCTCGTCCCCTCGTCACCCCGTCACCCTTCCCCTCCCCTCCCCTGTCTACAAGTATACAGTATCGGTACGGTACTACTCTCCTCTCCCCTGACTCTGTCTGGAGAATGTCCCGTCCTCTCCGCGTGTTGCTTTTTTATGCACAGGCCTTCATTATGTGGTGATTGTCCTATCTGCTTTTTCAATCCGGTCGCTTTTGTTCTTCAAAAATGGAGCTCCCGCTGCAGCGCCGCCCTCGTTTCCGCGCTTCGGTCAGTAATGATACCGGAGAAAACCCAATCAGATTTGTTTTAGGGCTATAGGCTATAGGGTTTTAGGGCTATAGGGTTATTAGGCAATGGGGATATAGGGCTATAGGGCTATATGGCTATAAGGATATAGGCCTATCGGGATATATGGTTATAGTGCTATAGGACTATAGGGCTATAAGGCTATAAGGCTATAGGGCTATAGGGCTATAGGGCTATTGGGCTATAGGGCTACAGGGCTATAGGGCTATAGGGCTATAGGGCTATTGGGCTATTGGGCTATAGGGCTGTAGGGCTATAGGGATATTGGGCTATAGGGCTATTGGGCTATTGGGCTGTAGGGCTATAGGGCTGTAGGGCTGTAGGGCTATAGGGATATTGGGCTATAGGGCTATTAGGGCTATAGGGCTAGAGGGCTAGAGGGCTATAGGGCTAGAGGGCTGTAGGGCGATGAGGATATAGGGCTATCGGGATATAGGGCTACCGGGCACCCGAGCACCCAGGCACCTGGGCACCCGGGCACCTGGGCACCTGGCCACCGAAATCGGCGACGTAGGTCACCTACACATATGAATCCGCTAGGACCCCTACAGAGGCAAGCTCTGATCGGGGAAAAACCCTCCTCCCGCTGCAGCGCTGGCCTCGTTCCCGCGCCTCTTGACGGCACTGGGCATTTGAAAGCGCCGACATCGGGCAGGCACGGTTGCGGAGGACACGGAGACGGCATTCCAGACAGGCCCTGTCATCTCGTAGACACGCCACTTACCCTCCAAGTCATCCGGTGCCATGTCACGGCATGCAATGCGATGCTGTGTTGTGCATCGCTGTGCGATGTCATGCTTTGCGTTGATACGCTTTTGTGATGCAGTGCTTCACTACGCAATGCCACGCCATGCAATGACATGCAATGCTCTGCCGTGCTCTTCTACGCCATGCGTTTCCATCCATCGCGTACCCTCTTGGGATGGTTGCCCTGCTCGACATCCAGCTGCGCGAAGAGATAGGAGATCCACGCCACCGTGGCGTGGATAGGAGATCCCGTCTCTTGCCGTCGGCAAGAGACGGGAGGGACGGGACGTCAGATGTGACGCTAGCGCACCTAGCTTGCATGCCCACCTCCTCCCCTCCTCTCCTGTTCCCCCCTCCCCAACCCATGGGGAGACCAAAAGGTACCGATACCGCTACTCCCCGGACCTCTCCCAGGGTGCGTTCTGACCAGGATTTCGAGGCGAATCCAGCAGTGGCGACGAGGGCAGCCCAGGAGGCCCAAACAGGGGAAAACGAGAGAAGGGTAGAGGTATGGGTACATTTTCCTCCTCTGAACCCACCCTCTCCCCTCGCCCCGCCAGCCCCCCCCCCTCTTTCCCCCTCCTCGCCCGCAGCTCCCCCTATATCCCTCCCGCTCCTCGCCCCGGGGGGCTGGGGCGACCCAGGACGTAGCTCGTGACGGAGAACGGGATCAGCGGAGACACCCGGAGCAGGAAGACGATGAGGAAGCCCTCCCGCCTCGGCGCTGCCTCCGCCTCGTCCTCTCGTCCTTCCTCCTCATCCTCCAATGATGATGATGCTGATGTTGATGCTGATGCTGATGCTGATGCTGATGATGACGATAATGATGTTGTTGTTGATGATGATGATGATGTTGTTGTTGTTGGTGGTGATGATGATGATGATGATGATGATGATGATGATGATGATGATGATGATGATGATGATGATGATGATGATGATGATGATGATGATGATGATGATGATGATGATGATGATGATGATGATGATGATGATGATGATGATGATGATGATGATGATGATGATGATGATGATGATGATGATGATGATGATGATGATGATGATGATGATGATGATGATGATGATGATGATGATGATGATGATGATGATGATGATGATGATGATGATGATGATGATGATGATGATGATGATGATGATGATGATGATGATGATGATGATGATGATGATGATGATGATGATGATGATGATGATGATGATGATGATGATGATGATGATGATGAGGATGAGGATGAGGATGAGATGAGGATGAGGATGAGGATGAGGATGAGGATGAGGATGAGGATGAGGATGAGGATGAGGATGAGGATGAGGATGAGGATGAGGATGAGGATGAGGATGAGGATGAGGATGAGGATGATGATGATGATGCTCCTGCGATCCTCCTCCACTCCTCCTGCTCCTCCTGCTGCTGCTGCGACCCGCCGAAGGGAGCATCCGAAGCCTCCACCACATGATGATGAACTCAGCAGCACGAAGCTCAAGAGGACGAGAGAGGCACGCATCGGTGCCTGCCGCGCTTCCAAGAGCACAATCGTGCTGCTTGCGAAAATGTCGAACGAAGACGGGATCCAAAGGCACAACAACAAAAACAGACGCGGCCTCAGGAACCTCCTCCCAAGGGAGTCAGTCCTACGGGGGACTCCGCATGGACACCCTCAAGAAAAACACATGCTACCTCCCCCGTCAAAATGAACCTCAAAAATGGCTGACATGCCCCTTCGAGGTCGGCGCGCCCTTCAATGTCGATACGACGCCCCTCCAATGTCGGGGCCAGGGCAGAGATGGTGACAGGGAGCCAGTCGGAAGCTCGATGATGACCGACATCGGAGGGGCGGCGCATACAAGTACGTCGCACTCATCGCTACTCAAGCACATATCTTCAGGTACACAATGTAACTACGCAAGACATATTTGAGGTTAATGTCGACGAGGGTTGTAAGGACATGCACAGATCGGCAAGATACTCCTTCGGCGAAGCCGGGCCATACCTCCCGCCCGCCCGCCCCACCGCCGCCGCGTGGCCACCAGGCTGCTGGCACCGGTCTCCCCCTGACCAGAACCTGGCGAGCCCGCTCAAGCAGAGCACATTCGCACCCAACAGTCTCGCGGGCTTCAGATGGCGACTGCCGAACATGCGTTCATCGATCCGTACTCTTCGAGACAGGGAGAACGAGGCCAATCGAGCGAACTCAGGGAGCCTCTCGCTGGAGCTGGCGCCCTCCCTCCGAGGCACCTCCGGGTGCTACGTGATTCCGCACACGCCTGCACAGACACACGCGAGGAGGAAGCTGGCCGTGGCACGCGGAAGCTCATTTCCACATGAGAAATGATTTCGCTCAGTCCTAGACAACGCCCGAATGCCCCAAGGAAGCTCCTGGAACCAAACAGGCCTGGAGACCTGGCAGTTGTGAATCTGAACACACCTGGCCGTGGACCAAGTCTCGTATGGCGACCCACACATCACTCCAACAGCCATATGCCTTCAAAGTTCCACGAACGATCTTTCCTCAGATTTCCTGTTCTTGGTCGTTGGCAACATCGCCCGACAGAGGGGGCGAGTAAAAGGGTTCGAAAGATTGGGTTCCTCAAGCCAGTACTGTAAAAATCAAGCTCCCGGAACAGTCCTGAAAGAGGACGAAGGAGAACGTTCCCGTATCGGCTGAGCAGCATGCCGGTGCCGTCGTTGCCAAGAGCGCTGAGAACTTCCGCCCTCGTCAGTGGTCGTGGTGGCGTCGCCGTGCTTCGTCGCCGTGCTTCGTCTTCCCCTCAGATTCCCGAAACAAACAGTGGTTGCACTTAGGGGTTCTGACCTGCCCTCGCTGAGTGATTGGTTGGATCTTCCGAAGTCTCGCCACGCTGTGGCCATGGGCCACCCCGTGGGCGTCCCGTGAGTGGCCCCCCGCCTGGGGGGGAGGTCGACGCCGCGCCGCTGGCGGTGCAGGTTTGGGGTTCCCCTTCGGGGCCCCCCGCCTCGACCCAGCGCCAGATCGCCGGTGTGCCGACGGGGCGGCGGCGTCCCGCCCGAGACAGCTGGGCGGGGTCTCCGGGTCCCGGGTGGGCGCGGGCGGTCGCGGCCGCACCTCGCGGCCCCCATCTCTTTTGGGTGGGGGCGCGCCTCGTCGGTGGACCAGGGCAGCAGCATCCTGCTCATTCTCTTGCTCCTCCTCCTCCTCCTCCTCCTCCTCCTCCTCATCCTCCTCCTCCTTCTCATCATCATCATCATCATCATCATCATCATCATCATCATCATCATCATCACCACCACCACCACCACCACCACCACCATCCCACCACCATCACCATCACCATCACCATCACCATCACCATCACCATCACCATCACCATCATCATCACCATCACCATCACCATCACCATCATCATCATCATCATCATCATCAGCAGCAGCATCATCATCATCATCATCATCATCATCATCATCATCATCATCAGCATCAGCATCAGCATCATCATCATCATCATCATCATCATCATCATCATCATCATCCTGGGCAGGAGCATCAGCATCAGCAGCGTCAGCATCCTCATCAGCATCATCATCATCAGCATCATCGGCAGCAGCAGCATCTATTCAGCATTACCCTGGTCATCATCATCATCGTCATTATCAACATCATCAGCAGCAACATCATCACTATCTCCATCACCATCATCATCGCCACCACCATCATCAACATCACCATCACCATCACCATCACCATCAACAACAATAGCATCATAACCATCACCACCGAGATCACCCTCACCAACACCACCATCACTACCACCACCATCATCCTCATCATCATCAGCATCAGCATCATCATCAACAACAGCATCATGTGGATCTGCTTCATCATCAGCATCTTCATGAGATTCATCATCAGCATCATCACCCTCATCATCAACATCGTTGTCACCATCACCGTCATCATCATCATCAGCAGCAGCTTCATCTTCTTATCCTGCTTCGGCACCATCATCATCATCATTATCATGTTCGTCAACATCACTATTAGCATCACCATCACCATGACCATCATCATCATCATCAGTATTATCAGTTTCATTGTCAACAACATCATCACCATCATGAGCATCATCAACATCATCGACGTCATCATCAGCATCATCATCATCATCAGCAGCATCCTCCAAATTCACATCCCCATCTTCATCTGCAGATACATCTCCATCGTCATCTGCATCGTCGTCTTCATCTTCAACTTCATCATCATCATCATCATCATCATCATCATCATCATCATCATGAGCATCAGCAGCATCATCACCATCACCATCACCATCTCCATCTCCAGCATCATCGTCACCGCAATCATCATCATCAGCATGGTCATCATCACCATCACCCAACCGCCAAAACCACCATCATCATCATCCTCATCGTCATCATCATCATCGTCGTCATCAGCACCAGCATCAAGACCATCATCATCAACAACACCATCATCATCGTCATCATCGTTTCACAATCAAAACAATTCGAACCATCATCAGCAGCAGCAGCATCATTATCAACAACCGCATCACCATCAGCAGCATCGTCACCATCATCAGTATGACCATCATCATCATCAGGTTCATCATATTCAGCTTCATAATCATCAACATCATCACCATCCCCACCATCACCATTACCAGCACCATCATCATGATCAGCATCATCATATTATTCACCACCATCATTATCATCATCATCGTCATCATTACCATCACCATCACGGTCACCATTGTCATCATCATCTTCTTCTTCATGAACATCATCATTATCATCATCGCCCTCATCATCACCATCAACATCACCATCACCATCAGCAGCAGCAGCATCATCATCATCATCAGCATCATCATTGCGAGGCGGGGAGTTATCCATATCCACCGCCTGGGAACCGACGTCCTGGTGCCCCAGCAAGCGGTGAATATGGATATATTTTGGCCCCCCCGGGAACCCGAATATTTTCATATTCACCGCCTACCGAGGTCTCCGAAAGTTGATCCTCCAGGCGGTGGTCATGTATAGATTCCTGCCCCGGAATCATCATCATGATCATCATTATCGTCATCACCATCACCAGCATCATTATCATAAGCATCATCATAAACATCATCATCATCACCATCACTAACATCATCTGGAAGCGGCGCATGCCGTCGGCGCCGGCCATCCTCAAGGGCCCCCACTCCACGGCGAGGTTGATCTTCTGGAACAGGTCCCGCCTCAGGTCGCGAGGGGGGCACACGGGGGCCGAGAGCGGAGCGGAGTGGGCTCAAGGAGGGAGGAGCAATCGAGCCGAGGGATGCGGGAGGGAGGGAGGGTTCGATTTGCGCCCGGTTCAGAGCTAGCTCAAAGACTGAGGCGCTAAAGCTGGCTGGGAGGAATTAGCTCATCAGGCATCTCGACCTCGTCTCTGGCGGGGTCGGGATGCCAGCAAAGAGGAAAGCTCAAGTCCCTTCGCCTCAGACCCGGATCGGCAAAAAAGGCCAGGAGCACACGACTCATCCCCATCGCTTCGGCTTTTTCGGCTTCGTGCGTGAATGTTCTTGCAAGATGATCCAGAAGGCTCCTCGATGGTCTTCACCGAGGAAAAGTGCACACGTCCGAGCGATGCCAAGACCCTCTAAAAGCAGCACGGGGAGCACCAGCAGCAGCAGCAGGAACACGAGGAGTAGCGGCGGCAGGTGGAGCAGGAGCGGCGGAGGCAGGGAGGGGGGAGAGGGGGGGAGGAGGAGGGGAAGGAGGAGGTGGAGGAGGAGGAGAGGAGGAAAGAAAAAGGGAGGAGGAGAGGAGGAGGAAGGAGGAGGAGGAGGAGGAGGAGAAGGAGGAGGAGCAGGAGGAGTAGGAGGAGAAGGGGCAGTAGGAGGAGAAGGAGAAGTGTGAGGAGGAGGAGGAGGAGGAGGACGAGGAGGAAGACTCGGAGAGATCTGAGGAGAAACCCAGGCAGTGACGAGGAAAGAGCAGTCGAGGGAGGCGGAGAATGAGGGGGAGGAGGAAAGACGCCCGGCGCTGGGGAAGAGACTGACCCAGTCCAAGCCGACGCCCCTTCTCGATCAAACACCAGCGAACAGAATCGGCCAGGGGCATCTCTGGGAACAGGCCAGGCTCTGCAACAGTTCATCATCAGCCGTATCATCGTCAGCATCGCCAGCATCGTTATCATCCCACTCTGCCCTCCAGCTGTCCTCTGGCAGCCAACCCGTGAGAGGCGAGACTCAGAAGCTGGGACTGCCGATGTGATAAACAACCGTCCGCCGTCCGACGCAGCAGGAGGATGAAGAGGCGGAACCACCACCGACCACAGCATGCGCACACACACACACACACACACACACACACTTTTTGATAGAGCGCACCTCTTCCGGTCGAAGCTAAGCGGGCCGCGCACAACGCGCACACACACACACACTCACTCTTGCACGTGCGGGAAAGCGCCATTCAGCGCGCCTCAGAGAATGACTGCACCCAGGGGACATAATTGGTTGGGGTAGCAGGTCACGAATCCGCGCTGGAGGATCGGGCCCCCCTTGCGACGGGCCCTTCTGAGCCTCATTGTAAGAAGGCGCCCCGTGGCTGCACGCGGTAGAGTGCGGCCGCAGATTCAGTACAGCCCTCTTCTCCCCCTCCCCATTTTTCCCCGCCTACCCTCCTCTCTCTCTCTCTCTCCTCTTCCTCCACCCATCTGCGCTTTTTTCTTCCTCCTCCTCCTCCTCCTCCTCCTCCTCCTCCTCCTCCTCCTCCTCCTCCTCCTCCTCTCTCCTCCTCCTCCTCCTCCTCCTCCTCCTCCCTCCTCTCCTCCTCTTTCTCCTCCTCCTGATTTCCTTCTCCCAACATTCCTGCTCCCAACGCACAGCCCCTGTCCTCCTCCCCCATCCTCTCCCCCCCTCACCTCACCCCTCCTCCCTTCTTCCCCTCCTCCCCCCTCCACAATACACTCCTCTCTCCCCTGACTCTGTCCAGAAGATATTCGCCCCCCCTCCGCGTACTGTTTTTTACACACAAGATTCCTGCGAATTGATCCTTCATGTGTGTTGTTACACGTCCATTTCTGTCCGGTCCTTCAAAATTTTGCTCCCGCTACAACGCTGGCCTCATGGCCGCGATTCCGCTCGTTCCGAATCGTGCTCCCGCTGCAGCGCTGGCCGCATTTCCGCGCTTCCGCAGCGCTGGCCTTATTGCCGGTACCATGCTATGACATGCAATGCTATGCTGTGGTGTGTGTGTGTGTGCGTGTGCGTGTGCGTGTGCGTGTGCGTGTGCGTGTGCGTGTGCGTGTGCGTGTGCGTGTGCGTGTGCGTGTGCGTGTGCGTGTGCGTGTGCGTGTGCGTGTGCGTGTGCGTGTGCGTGTGCGTGTGCGTGTGCGTGTGCGTGTGTGCGTGTGCGTGTGCGTGTGCGTGTGCGTGTGCGTGTGCGTGCGCGTGCGCGTGCGCGTGCGTGTGCGTGCGTGTGCGTGCGCGTGCGCGTGCGCGTGCGTGCGCGTGCGCGTGCGCGTGCGCGCGCGTGCGCGTGCGCGTGCGCGTGCGCGTGCGCGTGCGCGTGCGCGTGCGTGCGTGCGTGTGTGTGTGTGCGTGTGGGTGTGTGTGTGTGCGTGCGTGCGTGCGTGCGTGCGTGCGTGTGTGCGTGTGTGAGTGTGTGTGTGTTCCGCTGTGCGATGCCATGCCTTCAGCTGCAATGCGATAATATGCAGTGCTTGACTACGCAGTGCCACGCCATGCTATGTCATGCTACGCGTTGATCTTCAATGCCATGTTATGCCATGTAATGCTATGCCATACTACGACATCCGACTGCGCGAATAGAGAGGAACGCTACGCCATTGTAAGGGATGGGACGCAGGGGTAGGACGTCAGACAAGACGCTTGCGCACCTAGCTTGTCCCCCTCCCCTCCCCCTCCCCCCCCCCCCCCTAGCTTGTCCCCCCTCCCCCAGTCCCACCCTCCCTCCGAGGCCCTGCCGTTGCCGTGGACCGGGCCTCTCCCGCCCTGCGCTCGCTCAACCCGCGGCCCGCAGGAGGCGCCTCGCGCCGCCACCGCAGAGCGGCTCCTCACTGCCCTCCGCGCCTCCGCGCGCCTCGCCCGGCGCGCGTGCCCGGCGCACCTCCCCGGCCGGCGGCGCCGCGGCCAGAGCGCCCCGCGGCGGGAGCGCCTCCGAGCCCTCCGGCGGCGCCTCCGCGGCGCCTCCACGGCGCCCTCCGCGCCGGAGCTGCCTCGCCGACAGCTCGGGCGTGCGCGGCGCACCTTCGGGGCCAGCAGCGTCGTGGGGAGCGGCCGCGGCCCATGCCGCAGCAGGAGCGCCGCCGCCGGCCGAGTGGGGCGCGCCCAGGCTGCCCGCCACGCCCCTGTTCTGGGTGGATGTCCTGCGGGGGCCGAGGCGGGCCCTGAACAGACATTGCTTGCCTGTCTCCTCCTCACACTATCCTCCTCCTCCTCCTCCTCCTCCTCCTCCTCCTCCTCCTCCTCCTCCTCCTCCTCCTCCTCCTCCTCATCATCATCATCATCATCATCATCATCATCATCATCATCATCGGCCTCCTCCTCCTCCTCGGCCTCCTCATCAGCATCATCATCATAAGCATAAGCATAAGCATCAGCATCATCATCATCATCATCATCATCAGCAGCAGCAGCAGCTGCAGCATCATCATAATCACCATCATCATCAGCAGCATCATCAGCAGCATCATCATCAGCATCATCATCACCAGCAGCATCATCCTCATCATCATCAGCATCACCAGCAGCAGCATCATCATTATCAGCATCAGCATCATCATCATCAGCAGCATCAGCATCAGCATCAGCATCAGCGGCATCATCATCATCATCATCATCATCATCAGCATCATCATCATCATCATCATCATCATCATCATCATCATCATCATCATCATCATCATCATCGTCATCACCTTAATCATCATCATGATGATCATCATCATCAACAACAACTGTATCATCATCAGCAGCAGAACCATCACCATCGCCATCGCCATCACCACCATGAACATCATCAGCAGCAGCAGCAGCACCACCACCACCATCATCATCAGCAGCATGATCATCATCACCATCATCATCAGCCAGCATCATCATCAGCATCACCATCATCATCAGCAGCATCAGCATCATCATCCTCATCATCATTAATCGTCGTCATCGTCATCGTCATCAGCATCACCATCGTCATCCGCAGCAGCAGTATCATCATTACCACCATCATCGCCACCATCACCACCACCACAACCACCGCCAATATCATCATCATCAGCAGCAGCAGCATCACCATCATCGTCGTCTTCCTCAACATCATCAACAGCATCATCATAATAGACATCAGCATCATCATTACCATCGTCAACATCGTCATTATCGTCATCGTCATAATCATCATCACCAGCAGCAGCAACACCATCGTCATCATCATCACCACCACCATCATCGTCGTCATCATCATCAAAATCGTCAGCATGATCACTATCATCATCACCATCACCACCATCACCACCACCATCGCTATCTCCATCGTCATCACCATCGCCATCACCATCATCAACATTATCGGCAGCAGCAGCAGCATCATCAGCAGCAGCTGTATCATCAGCATCCTCACCGTCATCATCGCAATCATCATCATCAGCATCATCAGCAGCAGCTCATCATCATAACAACCAGCATCATCATCATCATAAGCAGCAGCATCATCATCGTCATCATCAACATCACCATCATCGCAGCAGCATCATCATTGCCAGCATCAGCATCATCTGCAGCAGCATAAGCAGCATCATCACCATCATCACCAGCATCCCCGCCACCACCATCATCGGAATCGTCAACATTGCTCATCATCCATATTATCGTCATCATCATCAGCAGCATCAGCATCAGCATCTTCATCATCATCATCCGCCCCCCTTTTTTGCTGGTGATCTATGCTCATGAGCATTGCGGTGGCATCCCCGTTGCATTATGAATTGCAATGCTACGACTGCCACGCTAGGGTTCGCATTTGTATTCATTAGAATGCTCATCATCAGTACCAAAATCATCATCAACATCGTCAGGTTCATCATCCACGTATTCCCATCCCTCCTTATCCACCTCCACCCACGATCCCAGCGGCTAGCGTGTCGAATCAAGTGTGGCCGTGCAGGCTAGTCGAGAACGTCATCCTTCGGGAAAAGAGGCTCGAAGAGCTGGCGGGGGGAAGAGCGGCTGCTGACGCAGAACGGAGGACCCAACGTGGGAGCTCAGGCTGATTGGAATTTCCCACACTGTCTGGTGATATAGAGGCCCCAAGTACCGCTTCGAGGCCATAGAGGCCTCAAGGCCACCGTGATAGGTCTGATGCTACAGTGTGACGATTCCTCCTCCGCAACTTTCTCGTCCCTCTCCTCCCTCTCCTGCACCTCCTCATCCTCCTCCTCCTCCTCCTCCTCCTCCTGCTGCACCTCCTCCTGCTCCTCAGCCGTCAGGCCAGTGCGGTCTTCATGTGCACTGCTACGGCGACCAAGCCGTACAGCCTGGGCGCCCGCTGGCACCGCGCGGTCATGCGGTGTACTGCCGATGATCCCATGTGGGTTGAGGCATGTCCCCTCCCACCCCTTCCCCTCTAGGGGGCGATCGCTGTAATGGCGTGAGTCAGGTCCTTCCACCCCCCTTCCCTTTGGACCCTCATAGAAGGGAAGGCGGCACGGCCCCTGGGTTTAAAAGCCCAGGGGTGGACGACGTGCGCACCTTTGGCTGGAGAGTGGCCTGCCCCCCCCCGCGTCCAACCCCGCCTGGGTCCTCGCAGCCAGGTTTGAGCCCTGGCACGTTGGGTCCTTCGCCCCAGCAGGATGTCCTTCGCCCCGTCTGGGAGTTGCGAGCTGCGCCGGGGGTTCACAGGTAGACGTGCTTGCGGGGTTCGGGGGCTGAGCAAAGCTCCGTTTCTTGTGGGTGTGGTGGGTTGTCGCTTCTTTTAGCGGGTTTCCCCCTAAGCGCGATCAGGCGCGGTGTCTCCCCTGGCGCGACTAGGTGTCAGCCTGCTGAAGAGGGGCGGCGGTCGGTCTCAGCTAGTGCTGGCGACCCCTTCGTGCACGAGCGCCCCGCGTGGATGCGCGCCGCTGATACGGAAGCGGAGTTGCGCCTCTATTGAGGCTCTAACCGCAATCTCCCCTATTGGGCCTTCAGTCATTCATTCCTTCTCATCCTCCTCATCATCATCATCATCATCATCATCATCAGCATCAGCATCAGCATCAGCATCAGCATCAGCATCAGCATCATCATCATCATCATCATCATCATCATCATCATCATCATCATCATCATCATCATCATCATCATCATCATCAACATCCTGCACCACCTCCTCCTCCTCCTCCTCTTTCTCCTCCTCCTCCTCATCCTCCTCCTCCTCCTCCTCCTACTCCTACTCACAGCACCCGGGACGTCCACGGAGAACGGCCCATATCCTACAACCGCCCCTGACGACAGAAGCAGGACACAAACAACACCTGGCATGATGAGACGGGAGAGACGGAGGATGGTGAGAGGGGAGTGTGGGCGCCCCTCCTTGCCCTCCTCCTCCTCCTCATCCTCCTCCTCCCTGCCTTCTCCTCCCTCCCCCTCCCCCTCCTGCTTCCCCCGCTCCTCCTCCCCTCTCCCCACACTCCGTCTGAGACGCCGGGTCCAGAAGATGTATCGGACGCCGCGGCCGCTCTAGAGTGCCCTGGCCGCAAGGGCCCAGAGACGGCCCAAGTGGGCCAGGAGGCCTCCCAAGGGACCCACAGGACGGCCAAGAGAGCCCTCAAGAGGGCCCCAAGAGGAGCTCAAGAGGGGGAACTCGTACGGGCCCTGGGGGCCCTCCCCCAGATGGACCAAAAGACCCCCAAGAAGGCCCCCAAGAAGCCCCTACCCCTACCCCAAGAAGCCCAAGAAGCCCCCAATAAGAAGCCCCCAAGAGGCCCCCAAGAAGCCCCCAAGAAGCCCCCCAAAGCTCTCCCCGAAAGCCCTGAAAAGGCTCCCTGGAGGCCTCCCCCGAGAAGCCCCGCAGGAGCAGACGCGGAGGAAGCGGAGAACGAATCGGCAACAGCGACACGCAGGCGGCACGACGAGAAAAACGGCAAGCAGCACGTCCAGTCGGCCCTTTATCATAAGGATGCGCGATAAGGGTGCAAGGGCCTTGGACGCCTATTTCGAAGCTTTTCGAGCGGGGCGCGGCCAACGAGAGTGGCCACGGATGGACCGAGGAGGCAAGGATGCAAGGGCACCCTTGGGAAGGTCGCCCATCCATTACTACGCGGGTTGACTGTGCCGAAATGAACGCCGCACATCTCCTCTCCTGGGGGTCGGCGGAGTGGCGGATGAGCCTCTCGGGTAACCCAGAATCTCCGAGAGCTGGCGGGCCCACAGGCCGCATCTATGACGCCGCGGCCGTTCCAGAGTCGGGTATTGCTAGAAGTGCCCCTGGCCCAAGGTGCCCCCAAGATTTCCAAGGAGCCCCCGACCGCCTCCAGAGTGCCCCTCACGAGGCCCAGAGGGCCCCAGGGACTCCAAAACAGAACGAGAAACCGGGAGCACCTTGGGCCAGGGGCTCCTTTAGCAACCCCCGACAGGGCGCCCTGTAAAGCTCTGAGAGCGCTCCAGAGCGATTCACCCTTGTGCTGGGCCTGCCCGAGACCCCCCTCCCAGAGACTCGCGCGCTGCCCACTGCTGGAGGCCTGGAAATGGGCACCAACACCAACACAAGGGGGTGCCTCCACCAGAACAGGACGATCCTGGGCTCTGGTGCTCGTGGCAATCTCCTTCGGCCCCCCTGGGACGCCCGAGCATGGCCACCGTCCCCGAGGTCAGGAGCCACCCTCCCTCGGTGGAGGCAACCCGCCGATGCCGGTGCTGGTGTCCACCCCTGGGCCTCCGACACTGCACGGCGCGCTCTGGGGGGCCACGTGCGAACCCTACCCCTACCCCCCACGATTTTTCTGAGGAAGAGGGTGGGGTTCCCTTCGTCCGGGAGCTCCCGGACGAAGCGAACCCCACCCTCCCCCTCAGAAATCGTGGGGGGTAGGGGTAGGGTTCGCATGTGGCGCTCGAGCGCTCACGCGCGGGACGGTGCCGAGGACCCCGAGAGCTCAGCGCGGACGGGGCGGCGAACGCGCGGCCGGCCTCCTGGCCGCGCTGGGCGCGAGCGGCGGCCAGCCGCTCACAGCTCCGCGCGCCGGCCGCGGCCGCCGGCGCCCCCCGAGCGGGCGTGCGCCCGGCACCCGTCCGCGAAGCTCCACCCGCCCGGGCACACGGCGCCCATGACGACGTACCTGTCAGCGCCCACTCCAACGGGGGCCCCGCTGGCCGGCACTCTGGCCAGCACTCCCCGGCGCACCCCATCCTCCCCGACGTGGGCACCGCTGCAATGCCAGAAAGAGGCCCCCAAAAAGGCAGCGCTCGGCAATGTTCGAGAATGCCATCACGGTACCAGTCGCCAGTGAGTACCCATTGCGGCAACGTTCGGCTACTGAGTTCGAGAATGCCATTCGGTGGTTCGAGAATGCCATTACGTCGTGAGTTCGAGAATGCCATTAGAGTACCATTTCGGCAACGTTCGGCTAGTCGCTAGTGAGTACCCATTACGGTGCCGCTGAGCCTAGGGGAACCAGAAAGTGCCGATACCGCTGCTCCCCGGGCCTCTCCCGGGGTGCGCTCCGGGCCAGCACTTCGAGGCGAGCCCAGCCGTGGCGACGAGTGCTGCCCAGGAGGCCCGAAACCGAAAAAGGCGAAGGCGAGGCAAAGGCACAGCTGCATCGGCTATGTGCCTCCTCCTCCTCCTCCTCCTCCTCCTCCTCCTCCTCCTCATCATCATCATCATCATCATCATCATCATCATCATCATCATCATCATCATCATCATCATCATCATCATCATCATCATCATCATCATCCTCTCATCCTCTCATCCTCTCATCCTCTCATCCTCTCATCCTCTCATCCTCCTCCTCCTCCTCCTCCTCCTCCTCCTCCTCTCTCCATCCTCATCCTCTCCTCCTCCTCCTCCTCCTCCTCCTCCTCCTCCTCCTCCTCCTCCTCCTCCTCCTCCTCCTCCTCCTCCCGGGTGCCAGGCGAAGGCCACGGCGCCCCCGGCCACGGCCAGCAGCAGGGCGCAGAAGGCCAGGCGGCGGCGAGAGACGCCCTTGGTCCAGATCTTCAGGACCTGCTCCTGGAGCTTGGGGAGGACGAGCATCAGCAGGATGAGGCAGATGAAGGCCGGCATCAGGTCTTTGCCGCCGGCGGGCCTGATGCCCTTCTTGCCTTCCATGGCCATCTCGGGGCCGCAAGTCGCGCCGGGAGGCGGAGAGCGCAGCACGCGAAGGCCCCTGGCACGCAGGGTCTCGTTGCTGCAGGCAGCCAGATTGCCAGTGGGCGAGGACCGATCTGTTTGAGCCGAAGCGCTTACGGATGTGGACGACGACAATCATGATATGGCACGACTCCTGAAAAGACGGAAAAGAGCAAAGGGCCCAAGAGGAGGAACTCGAAATGACACGTCGGGCCCTCCGCCCCAAGATAACCCCCGACACCGCCAGCAGGCCCCTACGAAGAGGCCCCCCAGAAGCCCTCCCGAGAGTCCCGAACGAGGCCTCCGCGAGGCCCTGGAAGCCCCAAAAAAACCCGCCTCCGAGGAGCTTCCGACAACATGGCGGCGGGGAGGGTCGACGGACTCTGTAAATAGCCTGCCGGCACCGGCATTCGAAATGCACACTCTCTCTCTCTCTCTCTCTCCCTCCCTCTCTCCCTAAGACAAAGCCAGGACGAGGCCAACATCGAGTGAGGATAAATCGAGAGTCTCCCAGATCCGGCGACTCCTGGGAGGATGCCTCGGGCGCCGCGGCCTTCTCGGAGCGTCCCGGAGCGCTCCGAGAGCTCCAGGAACGCTCTGGAACGGATTCAGCCTCGTCCTAGCCCCGTCCGTGATCTGGAGTCTGGACCCATTCCCTGGGACCGCCTCTTCCTCTGGAGCCGACCCCTTCACAGTCCTGGGCCGCCAGGAGCCCTCCCCGGTGGCGACTCGCCAGAAGCCTCCCGACGCCATCTGCTTCCCGGCGCGACGAGGGGCTCCAGGAAGGGCGCCGGAGGCCCGGGGCTGCCGAGCCAGCTCCTCCTCCTCCTCCTCCTCCTCCTCCTCCTCCTCTCCTCCTCCTCTCCTCCTCCTCCTCCCTCCTCCTCCTCCTCCTCCTCCTCCTCCTCCTCTCCTCCTCCTCCTCCCCTCCTCCTCCCTCCTCAAGTTACTCAATATGAATACTACTTTCCCTCTTCCCCTGATGACGTGCTGGGAGCGTTCGCCCCCCCCCCCGCGTCCTGCTTTTTTACACACAGGATTCCCGGGAGTTGGGTTTTCGCTTGCATTTTTTTCAAAATGCTGCTCTCGCTGAGGCGCCGGCCTCATTTTCGGGCCCCGCTCGTTCCGAATCGTGCTCCCGCTGCAGCGCTGGCCTCATTTCCGTGCTTCCGCTCGTTCCGAATCGTGCTCCCGCTGCAGCGCTGGCCTCATTTCCGCGCTTCCGCTCGTTCCGACTCGTGCTCCCGCTGCAGCGGTGGCGTCATTTCCCGTGCCATGCCACGGCATGCAATGCAATGCTAGGTTGATACTACGCTTTGCGGTGCTCTTCTACGCCATGCCATGCCGTGCTCTACAATGCATCGCGTACCCTTTCGGGATGATTGCCCTGCTCGACATCCGAGAGTGCGAGTAGAGAGGGGATCTACGCGATGGTAAGGGATGGGAGGGAGGGGTAGGTCAGATATGAACGCGAGCGCACCTAGCCCTGTCCCCCTCCCCCTCCTCCCCCTCCCCCTCCCCCTCCCCCCTCCCCGCTCCCCCTCCCTCCACAATTACTCAATATGAAATACTACTCTCCCTCTTCCCCTGATGACGGCTTGGGAATAGCCGCCCCCCCCGCGCACTGTTTTTCTACATACAGGTTTCTCCGGAGTTGGGTTTTCGCCTGCATTTTTTCCAAAATGCTGCTCTCGCTGAGGCGCCGGCCTCATTTTCGGGCCCCCCGCCACCACCACCGCACCGCGCCCCGCCCCGCCCACCGCCACTTCCACCCACCAACGCACGCACGCACGCACGCACGCGCACCGCCACCAACCACCCCACTACCCCACCCACCACCACCACGCTACACCGCGTCACACCACATCACACGCGCGCGCACACTGACACACACGCACGCACGCACGCACGCACGCACGCACGCACGCACGCACGCACGCACGCACGCACGCACGCACACACACACACACACACACACACACACACACACACACACACACACACACACACACACACACACACACACACAACGCACACACACACAACCACACACCACACACACACATACACACACACACACACACGCACACGCACGCACGCACACACCACACACACACACACCACACACACACACACACACCACACGCAGCCACCAACCCACCACCGCCACCACCACCACCGCCATCACGCACGCACGCACCTGGCCCACCACCAAACCACCAAGACGCCACACCACGTCACACCACAGCACACGCGCACACACGCACACACCACACACCACCACCACCACCACCACCACCACCACCACCACCACCACCACAACCACAACCACAACCACAACCACAACCACAACCACAACCACGCACACACGCACGCACGCACGCACGCACGCACCACCACCCACTACGCACGCGCGCGCGGAGCCACAGGTCCGCTACGACACGCGTCCGCGGATAGAGAAAATCAGCGCCATGGTAAGGGATGGGAGGGAGGGGTAGGACGTCAGATATGACGCGAGCGCACATAGCTTGCCCCTCCCCCCTCCACAATTACTCAATATGAAAACTACTCTCCTCCTTCCCCTGATGACGTGCTGGGAGTGTTCGCCCCCCCCCTCCGCCTCCTGCTTTTTTACACAAGATTCCTGGGAGTTGGGTTTTCGCCTTCATTTGTTTTCAAAATGCTGGTCTCGCTGAGGCGCGGGCCTCATTTTCGGGCCTCCGCTCGTTCCGAATCGCGTTCCCGCTGCAGCGCTGGCCTCATGTCCGTGCTTCCGCACGTTCCGAATCGTGCTCCCGCTGCAGCGCTGGCCTCATTTCCGCGCTTCCGCTCGTTTCGACTCATGCTCCCGCTGCAGCGGTGGCGTCATTTCCCGTGCCATGCCACGGCATGCACTGCAATGCTAGGTTGATACTACGCTTTGCGGTGCTCTTCTACGCCATGCCATGCCGTGCTCTACAATGCATCGCGTACCCATCATTGCCCTGCTCGACATCCGACTGAGCGAGTAGAGAAGGGATCTGCGCCATGGTAAGGGATGGGAGGGAGGGGTAGGATGTCAGATATGACGCGAGCGCACCTAGCTTGCCCCTCCCCCCTCCCCCCCCCCCTCCTCCTCCTCCTCCCTCCCCCCCTCCTCCTCCTCCTCCTCCTCCTCCTCCTCCTCCTCCTCCTCCTCCTCCTCCTCCTCCTCCTCCTCCTCCGCCCCTCGGTCCTGGAGCCCCGTCCGGCTCTCTCCCTCTCTCGGAGACTGCGCTCGTCGCTCCTCCGCACACGTGACGCGGAGGGCCCCCAAGCGGGTCTGGCGCGAGAGGGAGGGCGCACGGCGACCTCACGCCGCGGCTTGCAGTAGGAGCTCGATCACAAGAATGAAGGGACCCTGGTACACACACACACACACAGAGATAAACGCAAATGACAGGTTTCCCCATATTTTCCCATATTTTCTGGGTTTTCGTCTTCCCCCCCCATTTCCCATATCTTCCCAGATGTTCCTGGGGGTGGACGATTAATTGTGTGTTTTCCTCTCCTGAAAGAAACCTGCCGCAAGAAGCCCACCCTTGAGACCCCACGATGCCCATGGATGTTTTGTAGGGGGACGCCACGCTGCCCAGCACAGAACCAGCGAAACCCAAGAAGCCCAGGGGCACACTGTGCGCGGGCATGGGCTACACTGTGCCCAGTTGAACGAAGAATCCTTTATGGGCATCCCGTAGAAATATGTGAATCCAAACAAGAATAGATTTCCAAGATAATATGAAAACTGCTGTAGGTAAAGAAATAGGATCTTGACTGCTATCTCATAATCCTATGGTCAAGGTGTTTCTTGGCATGGGCTACACTGTGCGCGGGCCGCCGGCGCACGCACGGGCTGTGTGTTGGGAGGCAGGCAGGGTGTCTCTTGGCATGGGCTACACCGTGCGCGGGCCGCCGGCGCGGCGCGCTGCACTGGAGACGGGGGGCACGGACCGTGCGACCTCACGCGGGCAGCCTACGCGCCAGTGTGAGCGCCTTCTGATGGGGCGTGTCGACATTGGAGGAGGAGGAGGAGGAGGAGGAGGAGGAGGAGGAGGAGGAGGAGGAGGAGGAGGAGGAGGAGGAGGAGGCTGGCTCCGGAGCTCTGCTTAATGCGGCTGTGTGCAGCAGTGCGCCCCATGGGGGAGACCCACCTGCTCGAAGCAGGCGCCAAAAACAGCCAAGATCTACTCCATGGGGGGGGGGGGGGGTCGGTAAAACAATGAAGAAGAAAACGATCACATGTCGGCACCGAAGACCCCGTTGTTTGGCGTCGCTCACATGGCGATGCTCAACTTTGGGAGCCGTGTGCAGGATGTGACGAGCGGCTTGGCAGCAGTGCACCAGCCAGTCCGAATCCCCACCCCACTCCTCCCCCTGCTCCCTCATGTGAGGGGGGCCTGGGGCCAGAGGAGAGAGTAGAGGCCTCCTGCATGGGGTCGGAGTAGAAGGGGTCGGAGGATCGAGCCGCATCGGCGATGCATCGCCCATGCATTCGCGATGCACACGCGACGCCGGCGATGCGTCGGCGACGTCGGCGTGGAGAAAATCGGGCTCCACATCGAGCTGCATCGGCGATCCTCGGCGGTGCGGCGCGATGCTCCGACCCCATCTGCTCCGACCCCGTCCAGGAGGCCTAAGGAAAGAGAGAGAGAGAGAGAGGCGGCGCGAGCTCGGATCGGCGGGCGTGTGGCAAAGGGCCCTCCGCCACCTGCGCGGTGCGGCGGGGCGCCGCCGAGCGCGCCCCCGGAAGACGACCCCCCGCGCAAAAGGCCCCGCGGGGAGGGCGCCTGGGGCAGGCGCACGGCCGGAGGCCCCACGAGGCGCAAGGCCCTTCCGCCCTGGGGCCCGGGGCCGCCAGCCTCTGGCAGGACGGAGCTGGCTCGACTCGCGGGGCAGCGGATCGGCGGCGACGCTAGCAGACAGGCGCGCTCCACCACTCGCAAGATAACTGCTCGCAGATGCCCTGA